ACCAAGGGAGAGTCTTCCCTTCTCCAGCCTTCCTCTCTTGTCCCCAGGGTCTGGGATTCCTGAGGGCTGGCCTTAGCAGTGAAGACTGAAGCAAAGGCAGCATTCAGCAACTCTGCCTTCTCTGTATCCTCTGTCACCAGGGCACCCGCCCCATTCAGCAGCGGGCCCACGTTTTCCCTAGTCTTCCTTTTGCTATGGATGCATTTGAAGAAGCCCCTTCTTGTTGTCTCTGACCTCCCTTGCCAGATTTAATTCCAAACGGGCCTTAGCCTTCCTAGTCTCATCCGTGCGTGCTCAGAGGACGTCCCTATATTCCTCTCAAGCGGAGGCCTATATTCCTCCTGTCCCCTTTTCCACATTCTGTATGCTTCCTTCTTCTGTGTGAGTTTCGTCAGGAGTTCCCTGCTCATCCATGCAGGTCTCCTGCCCGCTTTGCTCGACTTCTTACTCAGAGGGATGCACCGATATTGAGCCTGGAGGAAGTGCTCCTTGAAGATTAACCAGTTTTCTCGGATCCCCCTTCCTTCTAGGGCCTTAACCCATGGGATTCCCCTAAAGTAGGTCCCTGAAGAGGCCAAAGTTAGCTCTCCTGAAGTCCAGCGTTGTGGTCCTCAACTTCAGAGAAGTCAGACGACCAATTCAACTGGAAGAACTGAGGAGAGAAGCTCCTCAGAGAAAAACGACAGAGAGAAGGAAAGGGAGCCAGTTACCTTAACATTATCTTCACCTACTAGCGCAAATATTTCAAGTCTGAAGTGCTTCCCTACTAAGTGGCATTTCCTCCATTATCCCATTTTCCTCTCCTTTTGTTTCTGTTTTGCCAAATTTCAGAATAACCACAAAATTCAGTTTTAAATTAAGTTTTAATTAATAGTTGAGACAAATGCTTTTCTCAGAGTGCTTTCAACATGCTTTCCATAGGCTCAGACCAACCAATACCTCCACAACTCAAGACCTAGCACATTTATTTAGTTTTCTGAATTGACAGGTCCAAGTTAATCCTTTTATTTTGAAGGGCCATTTATAAAATGCAATTAAGATAACAAATATAGGCTTCCCATATCTGTAAACTTGTCTCCTAAACCCATGGCTGTAGCTTAGCTTCACATTTGTTAGCATATAAACACAATCAGAATAAGGCATACAAAGGGTTTCCAGCAACATCTTACATCTTGTTGCACCTGAGACATCATCGTGCCCATCACCTTGTAAGGCATATTTCCCTATTTCAGGCAGTCAGAAAAGCAATTTTAAGCTAACAAAGTCTCTGAGAATATTTGACACCTGAAAAGATCAGAATTTGCTTGGATTCTGTTATCGCTTTGCATAGAGCTGAGCGGAACTTCTAAAATTTACCACAGATACCAAATCTGATTTGTATATGAAATGCTTGCATTCATTCTGGTCCGACACATATATGTATGGCACATATGAACCTACATTTAACTTCTATCTTTATGCCAACAAAAGTAAATTTAATCCCATCTCTGATTAGAAAGGTCTGAGAAAACAGACACATATTATATGCTGCTCCCCAGTTACCCACTCTGACCTTCCCTAACCTATATCACATATCAACAAACTATCTCAGATTATTTAAATCAGAAAGATGATGGGGAATACCTTCTAAGTATTCCAACACTAGTATTTCATTTGGCTTCATATTAACTAAAGAGCCTGTTGCAGAGTGCTTCCACACCTCCCTCTGCCCTCAGAATGAATGGTTTGCTCTGATACAGTCTGAGCCTCTACCTACTTGTGCAAAAGAAGACAGAAATAGAGGAACTGAGGTGTGGAAAAGCTGTTAACCATTCTGTTCATAGGCAAAATGGAGAAGAACAGAGAATTAGCAACTTTCTTTAACATGCAGGTCCTTTCTTGGTTCTCCATAACCTCCTTCCACTCCTCCCGAAGCATCGGAGGAGAGGTGGAGCCCAATCCTATTATAATGCTGCTGAATACAGACTAATGCTCATTTTCAAGGAAGTCATGGTACATTTCCTTAGCTGAAATTCAACCTTATTCCCCAATTTCAGAGAAAGCAGTTTTATTAAACAACATTTTCAATTAAAACAGACATGAATCTGAATCCAGGAGAAAGGCCAGTACTTGCATTCAAGTTTTAAATACAGTGATTGGCTAGTACAAGTATTATCACATGAGAAGCCCAGTCACTCAAACCCTCTTCGCTATGAATGAGGTTTGAGACTGGGAAGGGAAGGTTCAGCTCACTTGCAGAATGCTGAGAATGGGAAGAGAATCAAAAGCAATGTTCAAGGCATACGCAAACAGAAGAAATGTGCGCTTTGGAGTCTACATTTTTTTTCTTCCTTCAAAGTCTATACTTTAATGTGAAGATAAAAGCCAAAGGAAAAAAAAAGTCTATATACAGTACTTTCTCTAAATTAAGTCCCACAGTTTTGTTTTTGTTAAAATAAAATAATATCATTTAATTTAATATCTATTTCAGGATTCTCAGACCAGAGTGTGGTGCTGTTAACACTGCATATAATTGGAATTATCCTTTTAAAAAGCAATTTTAAAAGCAGCTCTGAACTTTGCTTCTGAGATGGAAGCACTGTCTCTGAACCAACAATGATTCCTGTCACTCTTGCTTTGCATCTTTCAAGGCCTGAAGTCTTTCTAAAAGGGGTGGATGGGAGTAATGCCACATTGAAAAGATCCAATCAGAAACAGGGAATCCTAAATTATCTTTGTTTAGTTTGATCAAAGCAGAATACAGGTCTTTAGCCTTCCCAAGTTCCTTGGCAAATGCATCTGCTTGAAACTCAAATCGTCGGCTTAATACAGTCAAGCAAAAGGAGAGAACCTGCGGAGAGAAATATATTAACAATTATTTAAAAATTCAGCCATCTGTGAGTTCCTTACTGCATCAGTAAATAGGCATTTTAATGTCTTCCTCCCCGCCATCCCACACATTGCTGTGGCTGTAGAATGATCTCAGTAAGACTAATCCAGGTCAAACCTGAAACTGGGAGTTTTACCTGAGGCAGAACACTAACCCTACTTATTACATTGAGATGTACCAGATACAGCCCCTAGAAACTTCAAACTCTTCTCCAAAGTAATAATATAGCCAAATAAAATCATTATTTAAATAGGATGATACTTCAACACCTAAAGCTGAAAGACCAATTCCACAAGTTACAGTTTACCTCATTGTAAGGTGAAAAAATGAACTGGAAAATAATCATCAAGCCTATCAGGGTAGGCTGGGTCTCATAGAAACCAAATGCAGCAAAGAGTTCTTTCCGACCAATTAACACAGCAAACAAGAAGAAGCAGAGGAAGGAATTCATCTAGAGAAAGGAAACAACATTCTTGGTTAAGATGGGCTTTTCATATAAATCTAAAATACGGCCTAAGTGTTCACATTATGGATTTGCCCTGAAACTCCACTGAAAAAAGAGAGATTATTTTAGAATTAATATACAAAGAGGAACAAACAGCCACCTTTAACCTCCTTTCTGTGTATGCATGCAATAAAGTAACTATTTTCATTTTCTATCAGTGAGCTAAAAAAAAGAAGAAGTAGTGAAGGGAGATAAAAAGGCAGGAGGACAAGATAAGTGAGGAAGGAACAGAGGGGAGAATCCATCTCCCTGGAATTAAACATGTTCTAAAAAGTTTAAAAGCAAACCAAACGCGTCAGAAATCCTTCTATGAAGCATTATGTACTGTTTGCTGTGCCGTACTTCTATTTCTGGAAGCAATCTACTTTTCCATCTAAGCCATGCATCATTGTGTACAAGTACTTCGCTTGGCTGGCTTTTCAGAGGCAAGATCACATCTTACCAAGAAGATGAAAGTATGTTTTCAGTCTATTCAGGTGGCTGTTTAGTCAGAGTAATGTGGAAGATAAAATGTTTGATTGAAACATACAGACAGAAAAAGGCAGAGAGGGAGAGCTGAGACAGAAAAGAGCCACCAGAAAAAGTAGAAAACAGATTTGTGGATGTTTTTTGAAGTGAGGATAAAAATCTACCTATTACAGTGAGACCTCAGTAACTAGAAGATGGATCCAAAGACAAAGGTTACATGAGTTAGCAGAGTGGAAAATATCAAAGTAGTTGTTTTTTAACTAGTAGGGATCAACACGGATGTCAGAAGTTGGAATATAATTGTATTAATCATGGCAGGAGGTAATAAGGACCTCACTTAAGTGTTTAATTGTGTGGATAAGAGAAAGCTAGTGTGGAAAGAGAGACTAGAGAGGAGCTTAAGCTGGAGCTTGATGGTGATGTTACAGCGTGAAAAACTTGTGAATAGCTTTAGAAAAAAACAAACAAACAAAACAGCATTCTGTCACCTGGAACAAGATAAATCTACACCAAAGCATATGGTAGACTGATGACAGTAAATTAACAGAAAGTAGCAATAGCAACACATTGCTGAGCCTTGCAAACCAAAGCATTTTAAGTCAGGATGTGGAAGCAGTTTGAGCAGCAATTCCTTTGTATTGGGCACAGCAATTCCTTTGTATTGTGCTATGCCCAGAGGCCCACGCATGAGTAAACAGACCATTAGGCTTTTTTACTTCAAATGCAAGGTTAGCAGATCTCTAATGAGCGCTTCGATATTCATCCCCATTTTGGGCATGCACCAAGAAGGTTGCAATAAGGTTGTTTACCAGTTACCAGTGCACAAGGTATGAAAATGCAATTATACAAAACCAACCAAACAAAAGCCCTCCTGAGTCAATCATATTCCCTTATAATCTTCTGCTCTCCATATTGAAGTGCCGGGTTTTTTTTTGGGGTCTCTCTTCAGAAAATAGTTGCTCCATCCCCTTGATAATTTTAGCTGCCCTTCTTCTAACTAATTTCTAATCTTCTCTAACTCCACCTAACTCTAACTCTTTCCTGAGATGTGGAGAGCAGAACTGTACACAGTATTTGCTGTACATGCAGAGTATACATGCTCTGGGGCAGCACACTGTAGTACCTGCACAGGTGATAAATGGCAGCATATTTGCTCCCCTTGCCACATCCCAATATACAAGTGCACATGAAAGAATCCAGGAAAGGTGGATGGATACAAGCATACATGTCAAATACACTTACTGTGTACAAAAGAGGTAGCAGAAGAGCTACTAGGAAAATGTGAAGTCAGTGTATGATTAATAATCCCAAAATATATGCCAAAAAGGAGAGAATGCTCTGTAGTAAGAGTGAAGTAAGCCTTAGATTGTTATTCTTACTGAGAGGTATGAGCACTCTCAGTCGTAAGATCTGGGAACAGTGGGATGAGCTGCAGCATGCAAGAGTGTTTGGTGCAAGACAAAAGAATCATAAATGCTAGATATGTGCAAACATCAGTCCTGCTCCAGATTCAGAGAGCAGAGAGAAGAACTCGGTGTGGAACACCAGTGGTAAAGGAATTGCTGCTCTGCTGCCGGAGACCAGTAACAGATGAGGGGAGTGGACTAAGGGGTACTTGCGGAAGGGGCATTTGCTGTGTACAGCACAATCTACACAAGATACACTTGCAAATCTGGAAGTAGGACAATTGGAAAGGACAATAATTACAGAACGCTCTAGGAAAACCACCAATTTATCATAACTTACCTGGCTGATGATGATATTTTTGATAGTGTGACCTAGTTTCCAGTGACCCAATTCATGGCCAAGTACAGCCAGAACTTCTTCGTTTTTACATCCTTGTTTCTTATTCTGAGGGAGTAACAAAACCAAACTAATATCAGATATGACTGAACACAATTGATCAAATTTCTTACTTGTTAATTTTCCTTATGTCACTTAAGTTATTAAATGCCCCAAGATCAGGAGGCGGCTCTTCCCTTATACCAGCAGCATAAAGATAAACATACAGTTTCATATGGAGCCTTTTGAAAGGGCTTGTCCGTTATGAACTGAGACTCAAGAAGTCACTTACAAAAAATAAACTTTTAAGTTAAATAATCTTTCTATCATGAGGTGATGATCTTTCATTTCTATCTATGCAGACAAGCTTGTGCAGACCTGGAACAGTGCTGTAAGGTTTGCCTTCTAAACTGTCTCCTACCATCCTTTTATCTTTTTCTTTCTTTACCCAAGAAAAGGCATTACAATGCAAGCTGACATTCAGAACCAAAGACTTTTAATGAAGAATTGAGAGCCTAGCAAAGTCCTCCCCCTCCTTCCTTCAACATTCAATACAGAGCCTTGCCTTCCAAGGTACTACAGTTGCATTCACTAAAAAAGGAATGACAATAACAATACTCCCATCCCTGCAACAAAGGGATGATGGACTTCTGTATCTTCAAAGGTACAAAAGCCCTTAGCAAGTCAGAAGCAAGTATGTGGGCACGCGTATTGAGAAAGTAGCTGAAGAACCCGCTGGAATGGAGGAAGTGCTTTTCATTATTACTACAGGGAATGCTTTCTGGGTTTTTCAGTGTGGGTGAGCTCAAAATCCCTTCCTCCCATCATTTACTACTGCAGTATGCTATACCACAAACCATGGATGAAGAGAATTCTACCACCAGCGCGTTCACAAGAAACAGAAGCCGGAGCGAACAACAATCTATAAGCTGGCGTAGCCGTGAACTGCGTGAGGCAATTCATTCTTCTCATATTTACTCCTTCAAGCTCTTCAGAAAGTATTCCACCAATTTTAGCCATTCTTATTTGTTACATGGAAGAAATCAATGTTTTACTAAAGCCTCTGTGGATTTCTAAAGTCTCCTTGGTACTATTTGCACCAATTCACTCACAGCCCCAGAAATTCCATTTATCATCAGCTCAGAGATTCTTTGGTGATGAAATCATTAGATTTTGTATTTCAGCATCTCATTCAGGAGCTTTACAATACACGCAGAAAACACACAAAAAAATCTCACTAAAAAGTTAATGTAAATAACTCAATGAAGAACAAAGATGAACTCACTTTGGTTTTAGACTTTGTCTCTTCATTCTCACTGCTGGCTCCTTCTGCTGGCTCTTTGTTCAATGCAGAATAATCTTCTAGGAGGGTATCAAACAGCACTATCCGCTTATTCTTGAAGAATCCATAGAAGTAAGCATTGCTATGAGAAGAACGCTTAGAACCTGATTGGGGAAGATTTACGTCAGAGACCACGGTCAGAACAATCCTGTGCGCTGAAGCTTATCTATGCAGCCTTACTTGGAGCAGATTCTTCCAAAAGAATTCTCAAAGACCCCACATGAATGGTAGACAAACTCCCTGCAAATAGGCTTGCAGGCCCGAAATATATTTTAAAATGACTTAGGTAAAGATCATCTAATTTACCACCTCCAATAGTGATTTTTCATCTGCAACATACAATCCCAGGTGATCAATCCAGTTTACTAAAAGCACAAGAACAGTCAAGTAAAGATATACTACTATCCAAAAGAAAAGCACTACTGCAGTTTCAGGTTCAGAGTGGAGAGAGCACTCTGCAAAGAAATTGTGCTGCCCTCCTTGCAAAGGAATTGATGGATTCATTTTAGAATTTTTTGAACGTATGAATTTCTGAAGGTGTTATAATCAGAGGCAGATGAGGAGATGAGGAGAGAGCAGAGGAGGAAATGGAGCACAGATCTCAGGCAGACTCTTAAAAATGTTGTATTACAGTTCCTAACGGATATACAGAGCTAGGGCAAATAGGCAAATTTTAACAGCTACTTTCATCTAGATAGTTTTTTTGACCAGCTGAAACTGTCCATGTTTCAGTGGATCAGAAAAGCTGTCTAGATGACAGGAACTGTTGCAACACCAGGACTGAGAGAATCTCTGACTACAAGAGAAGAGATGGAAGCTAGCTCCGCTTTTGGCAGCAGAAGATAAGATACTCCAAGTTGAAGGCAAACTTTCACTGTAAATGTATGAGCTGCATCAACTTCTTAAGGCAGAAAATACTCATTGCATGCTGCTCTATGGTCATGGTAACTTTGGCACCAAACCAAAATAGATTGATGGAGGAAGAGACTGGTCAGAGTAGGAAGCCTCAGCTTCCAGACACTTCTCAGTGAGAAAAACTGATAATCAGCCACAGCATAGTGAAGTCCCAATCCACCTATCTATCATAAAAAACTTCATCCTCCAATGAAATGTTGTTTGCAGAGAATGAACTTTGTAACCTACCTTTTCATCAAATGAAACCTGAGATTAAAGGACTTTGTTGCACATGTTGCTAAGAAGCCAGTTTTGGAGTGGGAAGAGAGCCAAGACAGAATTCAGAAAAACACTGGCAAAGAGATGCTCCCACATTATACCTCTGTGCCAGCAGGGAATGGTGCTAGCTCAACATTCTTAAGGATGCCAGGACAGAAGATGGGGGTTTGGAAGCCCCCCTTCACTGCAAATAACTGACACTTAATACAGCAATGTTGAAGAAGCCAATGCAATGATACGCTACAGAGGTGCTAGAGCACAAGCAATTGGCTTACAGTACTGCCTTTTAACCTTCATGACAGAAGTCCATCTTAGGAGACAGCCAGCAATGGTTACATAAAAAACTCAATTACTGGACGAGCCTCTATAATGACTCTCATGCTTTGAAGAGCTTCAACTTTGCTAGGAAAGAGGAGTTTCTTAGGCCCCAAGTATATCAGTACTAGAAGTTTTTGGCTGCACCGAGGCAGAGCACTGGCTGGATTTGGCCAGCCCAGAGTAGTGAAAGCCACAGGTTTCAGATTGAAGTCTTCATTAGCTTCTCTTAAGGGAAAAAATTCTAGCATTTCAGCTCTTTTTTCCATCTCATACTGTTTTCACCAAGGCAATAAACCCTCCCAA